AGTCTTCTTTGACATACAAAAATTCCTTCAGAAACTTCCTTTATCTCTACCCCCAAGATACATGTTAGTAAATATCCTCCAAGCATGTGACCCACTGATATACATCTGAAGGGTCTCATGACTAAGCATTTACTAAACAGTAATAAATGGCTTTCTCCTAATGATAGCTAACCCCTTCAGGGTCCTAGAAAACTTGCCTCTAAAATTCCATAGAGGGGTGCCTGGGAGGCTCAGTTGGTTAACCATCTACCTTCAGCCCAGATTATGATCCGAGGGTCCTGGGATCCAGCGCCATGTCCGGCTCCCTCCTCTCTGTGTCAAATAAACAAATAAAATCTTTAAAAAAATAAATAAGTGAAATGTAAATAAATAAATAAATAAATAAATAAAATTCCCTAGAGACTTAGGCAATCCCTAAACCCTTCCCAACTTGAAAGTATATGATTAGTAACCCATCACACAACACTGGTGTAGCCCTTTCTGCCCATGGGTCCTGGCCCATACTTTAGTAAAACCACCTTTTAGCACCGAAGATGTCTCAAGAATTCTCTCTGTGCCATCAGCTCTGAACCCCAACATTTCACATCAGATTCCCTCTCCTCTTTTGAGATCAGTGGTTTTCAAACTTGGCTGCCCACTGAAATCATTTAAGGAGTTTTAATTCCTGCTTCCTAAATTCTAATCTCAAAAATTCTGATAATGAATCTGGAGTTTTGACCTGGATATCAGGTGTTTAAAATCTTCAAGGATTCTATAGTATAGATAAATTTGAAATCCTTGATTGATATTCCTCATGGTTTTCATCTGAAATGCTTCCAAAAGTCTTATGAATGAATGATGATATATTTCATACCCCAGAAAAACAGCTTCTCTTAGTTGACTAGGAAATGCCCATGAAGATAAATTTTTCTGTCCTTCCATAGGATCCTTTTCTTACTTATATTGTAGCTTTTATCATTAAAATCAATTAATATCACTAAACTGATAACACCTAGAAGTTATGCTCTGTGCCTTGTATGTCTGTAGCTCTAGTATCTACTACGAAGTTGGTTATTTAGAGGGTATTTTATAAATGTTTGATGCACAAACTAAGACCAGCTGAGTTTTATATTCTTGTAATTGAATGTATATCAAATAATAAATTGTTACTTCTGCAAGTTTATGTTGAGAAAGGCAAATTCACTGCCCCCAACACACAAGAAAAAATTTTATTTAATTCAAACTGTTCCAAATAACATGTTGAAGACCTTAATGTACATGCTGCAATACATAATAATAAGCAGGAAAATAAAAGTTCTTATATTAACACTACTGGTGGTTAAAGGGTGTTACATGCACAGAATTTAAGTCCGCTGAAGTGTTTAGGAGGCAATTGACTAAAGCATACTGAGGTTTTATTTTTATCCTTGCCAACTTGGAATTGGTTTAATATTTTGAACATGACATGAATATGGGTGGCTTTCTTCTGAATGATATTTGAAGTTCCATGGTACATAAAATACTGACTGCACTAAAATACTGTTCTTACATTTAAAGCCAAGATTCCCCCTCCTTTATCTTTCTGTTTTCCTTTCTGAAAACTTTTTTTCCCCCCAGGATGGAAGGTTAGGGAAAAACTAATATATATTGTGTTTATAGACTTCTAGGTTCTTGAGAGTCACTTTAATCATGTATTTACTCACTTAACAAATATTTATTAAGTAACGTGTTCAAGGCATTATGTTATTTTGAATTTTTTAATTTAGTTCTCATAATTCTGTAGATTACTATGCTCTTTTACTGATTTAAAAAAAAAGTTGGAAGCATAAAAATTAAACTAACGAAAGACTTGTCTGATGTTGGTGTAGGTCATCAAGAGGACGTGACTGCCAGTTGAACTGTGAGCTGGAAGACTGGGAGGCTTCTCACTTCCTCAATGGAATGTGCACTCCAATAGCCTTTGGGGGTGGAAGCTACCCTAAGGACAGAACCTTGAGATAGTGTTGTGGTCTTGAGACTATCTGCTCAGTCTCAGTGACTGAACCAAGGTAAGTCTTCTATATAAACCAAGATTTGGCAGGTGGGTGTTCAGAGATATACTAGTCTTGAGGCAATGGAGGGTGAGCCTTGTTTGTAAATTCCTTTGCTTATTAACAAGACCACCAACCAATCTGAGTGGCTTCTGGCCTCTCCCTGCCCTAGGGCCAGTTTCAGCTTTCACCAGCGAAGCTCCCAAGAAGGCTGCAAACCAATACCTGATATTACACAACTAGTAATTGTTCAAAAGAATTTAGCCCAAACATTTCTTACTCAGAAATCCATATTCTTTATATATTACCACAAACGTAATTGTTAGCATTTAGCAAATATTAGAGGCATGCTAAGTCTTTCCGTTCTCAATTCTGCAACATTCTTTCATAGGTTAAGTGAAATTTGGATTTTTCATTTATGCTGAAGGCAAACTAAAACATACTTTAGTAAACAGTGTACATAAGAAGCCTCTGGTTTGGCTCAATCCCACCTCTGAGGCAGCCTTCATCCTGGGACATATGCCTACAGCTGGTTTTGTTTTGTTTTGTTTTGTTTTTAGTAGGCTCCATGCCCAACATGGGGCTTGAACTGACAACACTAAAATTAAGAGTCTAGTGGTCTAGCGACTCAGCCAGCCAGATGCCCCACTGGCTGGTTCTATAACTGAACCAACATGAGCTCACTCCTTGGTAAGCCAGCAATAGCTCTGGGTTGATTTGTCACACAAAGAAAAATTTGTAGCACATAAGGAAGTCACAGAGAATGGCTTCCAAAGTCCTGACTTCCCAAGCAAGGGTGAATGGGTTCCTTTTATTTAGGGTTAGGATAAATATTTAGATAGCGCCGTAAGTAAACATGCTTTATACACTTGCACATACACTGTATGTTATGTAAAGGAGACTGAGTCTCCTCCTTAGTTGGAGATTTTAGTATTATAATGAGGCAAAGGTCATCAGATATTCTAGAAGTCACTCATTTGTCCCTGTGTACAGATGTAAGTCACGAATGAAGCTCAAACTCTCTGGGCAGGCCAGAGGTCTTGTCTGAGCAGTCAGATACCTCCAGGAGCTGTTTCGCTTTCCATTTGCCTGGGTTAAGCTGTACTTTCCAACTTATCCCTTAAGGAAAAAATGTGGGATAAAGGTCCAAGAGTAGAAGCAGTTGTGCAGTAAAGGTCAGGTCTTAGAGTCTAGCTGGTGACAGTTTTGTGTAACAGCCACATATCACAGGAAGGACAAAACAAAAAGATTCACAATGGAAGAAAAATGTCTCTTTGCTGTGGTGTCTAAATGTGGTGTCTCTCACGATCAGTTGGAGGCAAAGATCAGGTGGTAGCTTGGCAGCATGGTGTGGGTGGTGAAACGAATTCACCTGGGGCAGAACAAAGGATATAGAAGTTGATTCAAGCACCTCAAGGGACCTATGGTCAAGACTGCAAAGGAGAAGCTATCTGCAATGAGGCAATGGGTGAGGGCTGTTTTTTGTTTTTTGTTTTTTTTTTTTTTTATTTTGTTTTGTTTTACGATTTTATTTAGCATCTGACAGACAGCGATCACAAGTAGGCAGAGAGGCAGGCAGGGAGGGAGAGGGGGAAGCAGGCTCCCCACCGAGCAGAGTGCCCTATGCAGGGATCAATCCCAGGATCCTGGGATCATGACCTGAGCTGAAGGCAGAGGCTTAACCCACTGAGCCACCCAGGTGCCCCATGGGGGCTGTTTTTAAAGGTGAGGATGAGGAGATAATGGCGACACAAGGAATTTTCACTTTTTTGGTAACTGTTGTTGTAAATAAGTAGCCCATTAGTCAATGAGGGCCTATGGATATTTTGACGTGGGTCGCCTGATGCTACTGTCTGTATTCAGCCTGGGGGTTGGGGTCACTTGGAGCCCTCTGCCTTTGCCAAGTTTTCATTGCTCAAGCCTATTGTCTAAAGGTGGCCTCTACATTTACCATGTACTTAGTTATAAAATCAACTTTTTCTAACTGATTATCTACCTAAAAATTTAATAGGTCTATTCCTGATTATGAGCTTATCTCTTTAAGACAATTTACTTAATTATGACAAACTGACTTGTGAGTGACAAAATATGTATTAAAATGCATAGTAGACCAATTATTATGATATGATTCTTTTTAATTTTTCTAGATCAGTCATTTAGAACCAGGGGCTATTTTGCCCCTCAGGGAACACCGGACAATGTTTAGAGACATTTTTGTTGTCATTTAGGTTGGAAGGAGGTACTTCTATAATCTAGGGAACCATAACAAAATATCCAGTGGGTACATGGCAGCGGTAGCCTGGAGAGCTACAAACCACCCTACAATGTGCACAGCAACCTCTTAGGAAAAAACAAAAAAATGGCAATACAATTTGATGGTTCAAAGTTGAGAAACCTTGCTCTAGATGTATTTGTACCATCAAAACCAATCATAACCTAAATTTATTGCTATGCCCTGATAAACTACTGTGCATGGTGAATTAAAGAGAAGATGGGTAACCTTTTTGGAACTTACAATCATTGACAGACAACCATGACTAAAAATATTAAAGACTGATACAACCTTGGCTAAGCATTTTCTTAAAATGTTGGAAACAGAATTGAGCATTAAAATGAGGTAGCCACCGGGCATCTGGGTGGCTCGGTCAGTGGCCCTTTGGCTTAGGGCATGATCCCGGGGTTCTGGGTTTGAGTCCTGCATTGGTTTCCCTGCTTAGCTCAGCTGGGGAGGCTGCTTCTTCCTCTCCTTCTGTGACTCAGCCTGCTTGCACTTGCTCTCTCTCTCTGTCAAACAAATAAATAAAATCTTTATTAAAAAATAGAATTAAGGAAAAGTGACAGCGTAGCGCGGTGCGGTGCAGCCCCAGCTCCCCTTTTCCCCTTGTTGGGCGTGAGGTGTGTATGGGGCACCCGCTGCTGCCGCCGCTACCGCCACTGCCACTGGTTGCTGTCTCTATGGCAAGGAGGAGGAGGAGGAGTGCGAGATCAGCGACACAAGTACAAAAATAAAGGATAAAGTATTTTATTAAACAAATCTTCAATCAAGTATAATATTTTGATGCTTGGCATCTAGACTTCTTATATCCTCACTATGCCAGCAGCAACTGTAGATCATAGCCAAAGAATTTGTGAAGTTTGGGCTTGCAACCTGGATGAAGAGATGAAGAAAATTCGTCAAGTTATCAGAAAATATAATTACATTGCTATGGACACCGAGTTTCCAGGTGTGGTTGCAAGACCTTTTGGAGAATTCAGGAGCAATGCTGACTATCAGTACCAACTATTGCGATGTAATGTAGACTTGTTAAAGATAACTCAGCTAGGACTGACGTTTATGAATGAGCAAGGAGAATATCCTCCAGGAACTTCAACTTGGCAGTTTAATTTTAAATTTAATTTGACGGAGGACATGTATGCCCAGGACTCTATAGAGCTACTAACAACATCTGGCATCCAGTTTAAAAAACATGAGGAGGAAGGAATTGAGACCCAGTACTTTGCAGAACTTCTTATGACATCGGGAGTGGTCCTCTGCGAAGGGGTCAAATGGTTATCATTTCATAGTGGTTATGACTTTGGCTATTTAATCAAAATCCTGATCAACTCTAACTTGCCTGAAGAAGAACTTGACTTCTTCGAGATCCTTTGATTATTTTTTCCTGTCATTTATGATGTGAAGTACCTCATGAAGAGCTGCAAAAATCTCAAAGGTGGTTTACAGGAAGTTGCTGAACAGTTAGAGCTGGAACGGATAGGACCACAGCATCAAGCGGGATCTGATTCATTGCTCACAGGAATGGCCTTTTTCAAAATGAGAGAAGTATGAAGACATCAGTGCCTTTTTCTCAGTTGGTTGTTAAGTTGAGAACATTAAAAATCTAACGGCAAAGGTTTTTGGGCAATAAGTGCTCATTAAATGAAGACGTGGTTAGAGATGCATGTAGGCTGTGTCCAACACACTTGAATGAAAGTGTTCAAAAATAAGTCCTCCTGAAATGTAGTTCAGAGGGCACTGAAAAAATGATTTCTTCATAGACTGAAAAAATGAAACAATTTAAACTACCTTAGGAATCATGTAGGTCCAACCAGACTATTTCTTAGATGAGAAAACTGAAGCCAGAGACTAGTAACTTCTATCTAAGGACACACTCATTACTAGCAGAACTCCAGAATTCTTTCTGTAGACCACATCAGTGCTATTGCTGCCAACTCAAGGAATCTACATGTTAGGTCTCCCTGGCATTGTCTTCTCATAGGCATTAAATTGCTGGTAAAATACCATTTGTTTATGCCATTTTTCAGCATTTTGAGGGTTTGTAGAGTAATGCTTATATAGTGCTTTTTAGTAGATTGAGTCTTACTAAGAGGTTCTAAATTCTCAAATGGTTAAGTAAATGTGAAGTAGTTGTTGAATCAAAAATCATACTGAGCAGAGCCCCTTAAGTGGCAAAAGGCAATACTGAATATAAAGCTAGGTGAATCGAAGGCTCCTCCTAGCTTAGTAATGGAGTGATAGACGCAGGTACACCTCATTGTAAATTAAATGCAAAAAGAAAGTTTTCCTTTTTGCAAAATACAACTTTAGAATTCTTCTGAATATATCCTCTTAGATACTCAAGAATTGACTGAGAACTATCTGGAAATTTAAAACTTCTGTAGCAGATGTATTAATAATAGAAAGCATAATAGTTGTTTTGCCAGGTATTGAGTCAGAAGTGATTTGGACTGTCTATTCATGACAAGTAAATACTTTGTTTTGTACTTCTTTCCAGTGCTACACTAGAGAATTAAAACTACCTTTTGGATTTTCAGCTTTGCATTTTAAAAAATACCTTAATGGTTCAATTAATGGTGGATTCTCTGCTACTAATTTATCATCTTTATGTTCCTTGGCTTTTTCAAGAATAGTGACACATCACCTAGTGTGAATGTTCAGATTTCACTGTCCAGAATGTGTTCAGGGTTTGTTTTCAGCCAAGTCAGCCTTGCATGTAGACTCAATGCTACTTAGAAGCCTAAACTTTTTTCTCCAATCATTGGCAATGCTCATTCATTTTGGCTGTTGAGTATTGTTACATTAATGGAATAAGAATTCCTGCCATTTTTTCATGATTACAAACTCTCATAAAATTGATCTAAATGTTAATAGGAAACACCCTTGTTTATACATTTTTTTAGTAATCTTTTTCTTTGGTTTCTCTTGAGCTCTGTACTTCTTGAGAACATTAGTCTTACTCATTGAATTTTAAAATGTGTGTCCTCAAAGGAGCACCATAGAAAAGGGCTGTCATTTTAGTTAATAAACAGTCAGTACTTACATTGCTGAAATATAAGTTACCAGTGGTACCTTTTGGTTAAATTCTTTGTACATTATTCATTATATTACAATGCTATAACTGGGTGGTCCTTTTTAAACAAAACGTTATTTGCAAAACAGAGGGTATTATTTGTTTTTAAAGCTTTTGTAAATAAAGCCTTCAGAAATGTTTTCTTATTAAAAAAATAAATAAATAAAATTTAAAAAAATAGAATGAAAAGAGGCAGCCAAATTCAACCTACTAATGGGAAGTTCTAGAAATGTGCTCTTAAGGAAAAAAAATAATTATTTTATTATTATCTGCTTATTATTTATTATTTATTATTATATTTATTATTATAAAAGGTAACTTTTTTGGAAGCAGACTTAGGGAAGAATTTTGATGTACATGTTTTGTCAGATGGCTAGTCAGGATAAGTCAAAGCCCAGGAATTGACTTTATCCTGAGAAGAATAGTCAAAGTATTGGTGCCTTTAAGATGGAAAGTACAACTGGAAATTATTAAGGCCTTACTGAGTCACTCCAATGAGATGCATGAAAAATTAACACTGACTGAGTACTATATATATTACTTAATTCCAACAATGATCCTGTGAATAAGTATTGTTATTATCCATCTACCAGTTACATAATCAACTAGTTCACAGTCACTGAACTGGCAGGTTGTGGAGTTAGGGCCAAAACCCAGGTCTTTTTACCCTAAGACTGTGTTTATCACCACCATGTTTTCCTGCTTCATCATATTTTAAGAATAATAACAATAGATGTACTGGTCACAAGTAAACACTGCCCCACAAAAGAAAACAAAAACAAAAACAAACAAATAAAAGCGGTGAAACAAACTTTTCTTACTTGTAAATTTTTATAACCTGGATATCTAAGTACTTACTTTTTTGGTCATTTCACTTTGAAGTGACAGAGGCTTCTTTTAATGCTCCTTTTAAGTCAAAAGAGATGTTTTCCACAGCAGGTGCTCCCCATTTATATGAACTTAACTTGTCTCTGCCCTGGCAGTTAAAAAAGGGGAAAAGACAGACCTGTAGAAAGCCAAAATCATTTGCTGCTACTTACCACCTAATGGGGAAAAAAACGCAATCTGTTCTTTATATTATTTGAAATTAAAAAAAAAAAAGTAACTCACTTTAAACTTAGACCTTAACATTTGACCATCTAACAATGTCTCTTTCTTAATACACCAAAATAATATTTCTGATACATCAGAAGGTTAAATTTGAAAATAACAGCTTTGATGTGAAAGTATTAAGCTCCTATCTATAAAATTCCCAGTTTAAAAATGCCTGCTTCAATATTCAAACCCATCTCTTCTCTTTTGAAACATTTATCTTTAAGCCAATTTCAGTGGGCTAAAGAAACTATGTCATGCTTTACCACTAGTTCTTTTAATCCTCTCTTAATAATTTATTCAAGTAATGCAATATCAAAGAAGAAAACACTCAGTATTTATAAACACACAAAGAAAAAAAATTGAAATACCTGAAGATTTGTAACATCAAAGATAAGCACACTGCAAACTCATTTATGTGTATCCTTCTGGGATGTGACACATAAAACATTTAAAGTTCCTCATCACTGAATCTCACTAAAATATATAGTCAATAAATTGCTAAGTCAATCAGTTGATATGTACTACATCATTTTGTTATCTAATACTTTCTTCATAATTAAAATATTACATTAATCCTGTACTTTTGATTGTTTAATTTCCATTATAATGTTTTAGTGAACATTTTGTTTTATCCATCTTTGTATACATTTCCTGAAGACAGTTGAACAAAATGGAATTATTGGAGGAGACAAGTATTCATTTGTATTGATACTGACCAGTTATCCACCAGAAAAAGCACAGAAAGTTCTATTTCTTCCATTTGGGAATTTGAGTATCTGCTTATCAAAACCTCACTACCACTAGTATTTATTTTTGTTTATTAAATGATGGTTTAATATCAGATTTGTGGAATAAGAGTGATGCTAAACATTTCTTTGTTTCTCATTTGTATTTCTTTCTTACCAGTTTGAATCATATTTTCCTACTATTTGAATATTATTTGTAAGATTTCTTTGGAAATATATAAAAATATTAATTGTTGCACATATTTTTTCTAATTATCATTCAATTATTCCACAAATCCATATCCGTATTCACTACAAGCTATATAGTATTGTAGTGATATGACAATAGATAGGAAAAGCTAAGAAGATCAGACTTTCATTGATCCTACAGTCTGGTCGGTGTTTATTTATTAATCACTTATAATAAATGCAAAGTTATAAATGTTTTGATGGAAAATATTGCTTTTTTTTTAAAATATATTCCTTAGACTGTGTGAATCAGAAAAGGCCTTTCAGAGAAATGATGCTTAGCACAAGCTGACAGGTGGATAGGTAAGCAGAGAGCATTTCTTAGGGACTGGTCAGCCCCAAACTAAGGTAGTCCCCTCGCTATAGGTTTTTTTTTTTTTTTTAAAGATTTTATTTATTTATTTGACAGAGAGAGATCACAAGTAGACAGAGAGGCAGGCAGAGAGAGAGAGGGAAGCAGGCTCCCTGCTGAGCAGAGAGCCCGATGCGGGACTCGATCCCAGGACCCTGAGATCATGACCTGAGCCAAAGGCAGCGGCTTAACCCACTGAGCCACCCAGGCGCCCATCGCTATAGGTTTTTTAGACTAACTCATGTTGCCTGCTGACAGTACAGGGAAAACAGATACACATGGCAGATACTGGGCAAAATTATATCTAGGAAATTCCAGACTTTACCAAAAGCTTTGATGTTGCTTTCCCCTAAAAACCACTATGAGAAGCTAGTAATTGATGTCAATGTGTAAGCTACTTTGGCACCAATTTATGAATTGAATATTAAACAAACAAACAAACAAACAACCCTGCTGATGGTACTGACAGTATGGATATCTCTGGAAGCACAGTAAGTAGTTCAGTGCAACGGGCAACAAGCCATGCATTAACAAAACCATTGGGAAGGCTGCCTTTCACTCTCTGGATGGCTAACTCAACATGTTTAAAACAAAAGTATCACTGCTGCGGAAAGCCTTCTCAGTAGGGAAAACAGACATGGTTAAGGGTGAATGGAATAGTAATAAGGTATCATATTTGTCTTGAATTCTGATAGTTAATATTTAGGATAACATCAGGTTATTTACTCATTCAACTAACAGATTTATTGTTTTCACAATTTTACAGTCTCAACTGACACAGATTAAAGAATTGTTTTTATTTTTCTGTATAGCTGAAGTTGATTTAGCTCTTAGAAGTCATTTTTTGCAGAACTGGACATCAAGGCTGTGTCTGATGATTAATACTATATTCTTTCTTCCCAGTGTAACCTAAATACAGAGTAGGCTTACATATTCTCTGTGGTGTGCTGGTAAACGCGCAACAACCGCTGCTCTGGAGGGGAGTGGAGGAAAGGCACCTATCTGTAAAGTTTCCAAGTTCATGGGACAAATGCAGTCATGGTGGCCAATTTCAAGTTTCCAACCTGACATCATTGAATTTGGA